TTTAATTAGATAAAACTAATCCTGATCATGGGCAGGGACTGGATTACTGCTTCTTTATATCTTTACCAAGTGCATCATGCTGTGCCTATCTTAGGTAGGCCCCAGATATTTTTTGAATTAAAGAGAATCAAAAGCATTTGTCCCATATTCCATGTACAATTTTGATAACTCTATCAAGAAACTTTCTGGATTTCATTATAATTTAAATATTAGAAAATATTCATGCTATAAGCAAATGAGTAGCTGTTTTTATATTAATATATGTAATTGTACAAAAGACAAGTCTGCTCACACTCTGAAAGGACCTTTCTAACCACACATGAGATTCTCTGTCCTGAGAGTGGCTTTTCTTAAATATAATCTTTTATAAATAGATTTTATAGAATCTGCTTTGCTTTGGTTACTCCATGTGATTTAGAATGATGGTGTACTCAGTGACCATAGCACAGCTCATGGTCATTTACAGAAAATGGTGGGATAAGTATGGAGTGCTGAGCTCTGTCTTTGTGTCCCTCTCTCTCTCTCTCTCTCTCTCTGTCTCTCTCTCTCTCTCTCTTTTTCCTTTCCCTTCTCTGGAAAATAATAAAAAATACAAAGAACATTCAAGCATGATCTTTCCTCTGATTCTCATGTTTTTGTTGCAAAGTTGGTAATTAGTAAATTAAAAGATTAAGTCTTGCTCCCTTGAGAGATGGAAAGATAAGACAGTATCATAGAGTATGTTCTCCTATTGCTACTGGGCAACTTTCACAATTATCTTCCTGTCTCAGTACATAGAAGTTCCTTCTTATCCAAGTTTTCACTTTCCATGGTTTCAGTTACCCACTGTCAATCTGGTCTGAAAATAGGTGTATAAAGTACACTAAGATATTCTGAGAGAGAAAAGAGAGAGAGAGAGATACCACATTTACATAACTTTTATTACAATATATTGTCATAATTATTCCGTTTATTAGTTATTGTTGCTAATCTCTTTCAGTGCCTAATTTATAAACTAAACTATATCATAGGTATGTATATATAGGAAAACACATAGTATATATAGGGTTTGGTACTATCAGAGAATTCAAGCATCCACTGGGGGTCTTGGAATGTATTACCACAGATAAGCAGGGGCTACGGTATCTGGCTGCAATTCACTATAATACTCCCATGACTTTTAGAGACATTTCAAATTCCTGATCAGTTTTAGGTAAGTAAATAAAAGTGTATACCTTAGTGGTGTTCTGTTTTACAAAAACAGAGAAGAAATCTTTTGAGTTTCATTTTTATATTTGAATTGTTAACCTCATGTAACAAAGGGAAGACTGTTACAATTTGTCAGAGGAAAGGTCTTGTACCCTACCCTTGACTGTGTGACACTTCTCTTTTTCTATTTTCCTCCTCTTTGTTCTTTCTAACTCTTTCTTTCCCCTCTCTGCCTCCTGCTTTTCTACATCCTCCTTGCTTGTGTTACAAGCTGTTATCAGCAACCAACACTATCGGGTAACCTCACTAGAGCTGGTGGTGAGTAAACCCCGATCTTCCCTCCTTCCTTCATTGAAGGCATTCCAGAAATATACATTGAATTTACTTCCTGTATTCTTTAAAAATACCACAAAATCCAGGACAGAAAAAGCTAAAGCAGCCCCGTTGGCATTGCCATGAAATACTAGACAGCTGCAGTGCAATTCAGAAATTCTCACTGTTTCCTGTTTCTTGAAGACCTCAGAAGCAAATGAAGTGTAAATCTTGAAAGTTCTATTCTGAGCCAAGTTTTAAGGTTCAGGCAGTAATTAGCAGTTATACTAGAACCAAACTTTTTTTTCTAAGCACCCAGAAATCTAGAATTTGTCTTGGCAGGTACTCAGGAATGATTTTCAGTATAAAGCAGGAAAAGCAGTCAAGAGAGGCACCGCATGCTGTGGGAAGAACGCTAATTCACTGTAACTGTTGAAGGCAAAGCCATATATACGGATGTGATTTCTTTCTGAAACAAGAGTTGGCTGGAGTTAACAGCATGTGTTGGATCTATATGGTGTGAATCTGTAGCCTTTGGGAAAGAAGAGAAAATTCCAGGTGTTAAACATTAAACTAGGAATCCTGCTTCTGCTTAAAAGCAACAGATCCTATATGACTCCAGTTCAGTTTCTTCATCTACAAAATGGGGATATGCATCTACTTAATAAGATTTTTGCAAGGAGGAAATAAGATGATGTCCATAAAGTGCTCAGCATACAGCTTGGCATGTAAGGCTTAATCAATGGTAACTACTGTTACATTTATTGAAATTATGAAAGTTACAGAAATTATGATTTAAGCCTTCCATGCAAAAAGTGAAAGTGAAAGTAGCATCCCAAATAAACTGAAGCTCAGTCCCAGGCACTTCTGTCTTTTTCCCTAGTCTTCCAAGGTAGTTGGCCTTTGCAAGTATATATGTGTATGTTACTTGTCTGTCTGTGTTTGTGTCTGTGTCTGTATCTGTGTCTGGGTCTCCTGCTTTCCTGCCCTATCCCAGACAAAGGAGGTGGTGGGAGAAGGAGCAGGGATTGTTACTGAGTGATGGATGAGTGAGGTTAAAATTCAAGCTTGGGCTAGAGGGGAGGGATTAAATTATCTGCACATGTTCCTCCTGTTGGAGTCAAGAATTTCGATTCATAATAAAAGTTACAGGGTTATGTAGTCATCTGTGAATTCATGAAACACAGCCCCTGCTGGGAAGATGGGACCATTTCTGGACAGATATGTGTGTTCAAAGGAATCACTATCTTTGGAATTGGTCTTGTTAGGAACTAAGGGATTCAGGTTCTACGGGACATTGCAGTTTTTCTTTTGGCTGCAAGAAGACTGAATGTTATGGGTTTGGGATTGAGTTTAATGCAGTCTATTTTAAAAACAAAAGCACATGAATAAACAAAAAATTAGATGCAGTATATAACAATGGTTTACTGAAATGCTGATAATCTATTTTGCATGCATATTTTGCCCGGAGTAAATGCCTGAATTCCTAATCATCAGCAGTTTCTCTTGCTATGTGCAGCTTGCTTTCTTCTTGGCCATCTTCCTAAAGCCTTCTTAGCCGGACTCTTCGCTGTTTGGTCTGTTCTCTGATTCTGTTGTAAAGTGTCCTATAAATTTACTGTCTAGGTAGCAAGTAGTTGTTTGCCCCCAGGAAATGTACTTGTGTGCTTAATTGTTTGGTCAAGTCTTCCCCATCCATCAGGTTGGTGCTCTTCCAAGATTGCAGTCTGATGTGAAAGAAATATGTTTCATGCAGACTTTTCTATATATGTTAGCAGTGATGGGTAGGAAATTCTAGAAGGTATAAAAATCATTCAATCCTTATATTTTGCTGCCAACTTTACATGGAAAACTAAGTTTTAGCATTCAAATGATCCAGCAAATCATCATCTGAAATGACATTTGGCTACAAAATGTAGGTAACTATTTGAAGATGGATAGAATACTGTTAAACCTGGATATTTATGCTTTAAATATTTATATAAGATTTATTCTGCATAGGAATAAATGAACCTGCAAAGAAAAATTAAGGAGCATCTGGGTGAAAATAAAATGTTTGCTAGTGTCACTTTAATTTCTTTAATTTGGTTGAAAGTATTGTTTCCAATGTATTCTATGCTTTCTCCAGCTGAGGGATAAAAGAATTGCTTTTAGTAGATTATATTTTTCAATCATTCTCTCCTTCATGTGCAGTCCTGGTTCTGAGACTAGGGGGACAAGACACTTTTTGTACCCAGAGAATGCTGCTTTGAGTAGAGTTTATTCATGAGAATGCACCTTGCCTGCCACTTTGAGAGAAGCCCATTACATTCATCATAGTAAGCCTTTTGTAACTATTTCTTGATGAATTACACAATCTTCTCACTTGAATAGCAGTCGGAAAACTGGTTGAGGCAGGTCGGGGTTTAATACAACAGTAGGAGGCCATGGTATGGAGAGGAAACTCAGGAAGAGGAACTGGCATGTTTAGAGCAACAAAGGGAAACAGAGAAGGTGAGGCTGGACTCTGTGGTGGAAGCAGAGTGATATAACACTGCTTCTTAAGCTTCTAACACCTATGGTGAAAGAATAGGTTTGTTTGGTTGATTGGTTTTCTTAAATTTTGAATCTGTTGAGGACCAATACTTTTGTAAAATTCAGTAACAATAAATTACTGGAAAAAATCATCTTGTGGCCTGACATGGTGGATTACCCCTGTAATCCCAGTAATTTGTCATAAAATTTAAAAAGAAATTAGCCAGGTGGGTGATGTGCACCTGTAGTCCTAGCTACTCAGGAGGCCGAGGCTGGAGGATCACTTGGGCCCAGGCTGCAGTGAGCAATTATCTCACCACTGCATTTTTAGCATTGACAGAGTGAGGCTTCATCTCTAAAAATAAATAAGTAAATAAATAAAAATGATCATGTGGTATTAAGGCTTCTAAATGCTTACTTTCTATTTATATACACATCTCTCTGTGAACCAGTTTAAAAAAAAAAAAACAGTTCACTGACACTGGGCTGCGGGGCACACTGAGAAACACTTGTTTTGAGAATGGTCAGAGCTGAACTGGAAAGAGATTGGCACTAAATTGTGAAGAGCCTTGTATACCATTATAAGGATTTCAAACTTTATGCCATCAAAATTTGGACCAACCTGAAAGTTTTGCTCTTTATTATCTTCCTGGATTTGCACTGTAAATTAATTTATCTAAAACTTTTGTGTGAATAGATGTTTGCTTAAATGTGTATTTAAAAAGCTATTTTAGCTTAGCAGTTAGTGTCACATATGTTGCTCTATACTTTTTAAAATTTTGTAGTTAAATAATCTTGCTTTTGAAAACTCAGCTTTATTTGGGTAAAGGAACACTTGACATCCCAGTTTTCCCTTCCTCCTTCTCTACCTTGTGTCTGTTTTCAAAAGAGCGGGTTGTATTTTACTGCAGATTTCTCAGGAGACCAGAACTGATCTGCCAGCCCTGCTGCCTTTTGTTGCTCTGCTCTTTACATTGCCTTTACAGTCACCAGGTGTCAAGATGCTGCGAGTCCATAGGACTGGACTGGGCAGGCTGGAGGTCAGCCTCTCCAAGGGTCTTCACCACAAAGCTGTGTTGGCCGTCCGGAGGGAGGATGTGAATGCCTGGGAGAGAAGGGCCCCCCTAGCTCCCAAGCACATCAAAGGCATCACCAATCTGGGATACAAGGTCTTGATACAGCCTTCGAATCGACGGGCCATTCATGATAAGGTAAGCATTTCCAATGTTTAAAATATGTGAGAATAAAGTGAACCTGCATATGACAATTAAGGAGCATCTGAGTGAAAATAAAATGTTTGCTAGTGTCATTTTGATTTCTTTACTTTGCTTAAAAGTATTATTTTCACCCTATTCTATGCTTACTCCAGCTGAGGAATAAAAGAACTTACTTTTAGGAGATGATATTTTTCAATCATTCTCTCCTTCATGTACAGCCCTAGTTCTGGGACTAGGGGGACAAGATTCCATTCTTGCACCTAGAGAATGCTGCTTTGAGAATGCACCTTGCCTGCCACTCTGAGGGAGGCCCATCATGTTCATCATTCCACTTGCTCTTCAAAATAATGTTATGGTATAAGTTTGACTCTCATTCCCATTTTAGCAATATACATATATACATATACTTTTCCTTTCCTGAACCATTTTAAAGTAAATCACAGACATCGTAACTCATGACTACTAAATACTTCAATATGCATCTCCTCAGAATAAACCGTTTTTTCTACATAACTACAATATTATTTTCATACCTAAGAAATTAATAATTCATAATATCATCTTATATAGTTCAAATGTTCGGATAGTTCAAATAGGTCTATGTTCAAATTCCCCATTGGCTCAAATGCCTTTTATTTTAATTGAGGCTTAATGAAGCTTTATTGCATTTTATCGTTGTGTGTCTTTAGTTCTTTCAATCTAGAACAATACATCCCTTTCTGATTTTGTTTCAATGATATTGATATTGACATGGACTCTTTTTAAAAGAGCCCAAGACTTACAGCGTGTCCTCTACTGGGCACGAATAATCTGGTTGTTTTCTCGTGATTAGATTATATTCTAGTTATATTCTATATATTGAACATAAGTGATATATGTTCTTCCCATGGCATCACATCAAAGGCACAAAACATTAGGTTGTCCCATGGTTAGCAACGTGTGGTCACTTGGTTGAGGTAGTTACAGTGAGAGCTCTTCATTGTTAAAGTCTGTTTCATCCTTTGTAATTACTGAGTTATCTGTGGTATGGTATTTTAAGTTCTGTGATGTTCCTATTCCTCAATAACTTTACAACTAATTATGTTAGCCTCCATTGATAATCTTTGCCTGAATCAGTTTTTACATGGAGACTTGTGAAGTGATGCTTTCTAATTTTTTATCACTCCCCTAAGTTTGTTTGCTGACATTCTTCTTTAGAAAAGAGGTTTTCTTTTCTTTCTCTTCCACTTCTCCATTTTTTGAGTTGTGAACTGTTTTATTACAGTGCATTGAACTGTTTACCAAACTGAATTCTGTAATTCAGTGTTTAAACATACTTCTTTAAAAAAAACTTTCTTACCATTGCATTTAAAGCCTTGTTGTGAGGAGTTTATATATACATCTTCATGTTGACAAGATGAATCTTAGGATGTTGCTTAAAAGATGAGTTGTGTACTGTTTTATTAAAGTGAACTGAATTGTTTATCAAAGTGTGAACTCTAATTTACTGTTGCATTATGCTTCTTTAATTTTTGCTTTTTTGAGTATTTTTTGGAAGCATGGATCTTTTTCATTCAATCCATTTACCATTATTCTTTTTAATATCTGAATTATCCCAAAATTGGTTAGTGTGAGTCCTTCCAAGGGGGATTCTCTGTCCTTTGGACATGAATCCATTTATCTTTGAGCTTTCTTGTTTCTTAGAATAACAAATTGTCCTAGTCTCACTTTGTACATTTCCTGCCCCACATCAGGAAATTAATAATTTCACCAAGAAGACTAAATTTCTTTTAGTATATAGAAACCGAGATCTGGTATCTGGTGTTAAGCATGTTTATTGTTACTGAGATACTGCTGCTCTTAGGCTTTATTTGTGTACAGAGTTTAGAAATAAACACAAACAGATGCCCACACACACACACACACATATATATATTATTTAATCATTAGTTAATACTGATACTAAAAGACTTCCAGAGGAAAAATTAATGTCCAGGAAAATTAAAATTTAACATTGCACAACTTTTTACCTTTAAAATTTTATATTTGCATTTGTTTTCTCCAACAGTAAAAATCTTAATTCTTTAACATTAATGCATATTGTTTGCTTTATCCTATAATATGTATTAAATAGTGTCAGAATCACAATACTATTATTACAACTAACAGTAAGCCCACTAAATGAAGTTTACCATTTCTTTGATTTTTTTTTTTTGCCTTTAGAATATATTTGACAATTAATATTCAGAGTGTTGTATTAAAAAACTTATTTGAATTATTTTTTCGGTGTGCTTTCATCATCAATCTAATATCCATCTAGATTTATATATTATTGCTTCTATTCAGTTTTAATGTTTGCTTTCCCTTTTTTTATTTAATTTTGTTTTTCAAAGTAGAACATTTACAAATTCCAGAAATGAAGTCATATTTTCATTTTGCTCCCATACATCCAATTCTCACCCACCCCAAAGGTTACTTTTGTTTCTGATCTATCATTCTTTTTTCTTTTTTTGCAAAAATGAACACCTGTGTGTGTATTTATTTCCCTTTTGTTCTTATACAGAAGGCTGTCTACTATATTAACTCTTTTTACCTTGCTTTCTTTCTTTAGTAACAACGTATCTTGAACATTGCTCTATGTAAGTTCTTAGAGATATTTCATTTCGTTTCATTTCATTTCATGGCTGTGTGAAAAGTACTCCATTGTACAGATTTACTATGGTTTATTTACCAATCTACTACAAATGAGAAAATGGACTGTTTTTGAAGAAACTAGGGAGAAATTGCATGTTCATTCTTTAACTATCACTGTTATTCATCTCTACTTTCCTTCGAAGTAGATTCCTAACTAAACTTATCTTTTGTTCAACTGCTATCATAGATGCTCTTTTAATTCTGCTTGGGTAATATCTCTTTATTTAAAAATCAGATATGTCTGTCTGTTGCTTCCGTGTACTAGCTATGTAATCTCAATTAAGTTTGTAAGTCTCAGGTTTCCCATTGATTGAATGAGGATTATAATTGTACTTACCTCATGAGAGTTCTATGAAATTTAAATGAGATAATTCATGCAAAGAGCTTAGCAAAGTACATAGTAATTTATTAATACATACCAATGATTGTTGCTTATTACCCAATAAAGCTCATATTAGCCATAATGACATTCAACCTGCATTTCCAAATCGATTTACTCGTATGCTGTAAATGTCTCTTTACTTCTCTCCCTTTGTATTTTTATACATTCCTTCAGTGCCTCTTACTGACATCACCATCTGGTGTTTCCCATTTTCATTTCTCTAAATTTCAGGTAACCTTTCAGATTAATTTAAATTTTCATATTTCTTTAGTATCCTACCTTTCAGATTAATTTTCATATTTTTTGATCATCCTACCTAGGAATTATCTCAATATCAGTTAAAGTAGCATATCACTTAGGTGCTGCTGATCATAATATTTTGAATTTTTCATTTACTCTAATCCAGAGTACCTTTTACTATATTTTGTGAGCTCCTTTATAGAACAAATTTTGACAATCTTTCCTTGTATCTTAGCATCTCATCTCTAGCACAGACTAATGTACAGTAAGGACAGTAATAAATACTAACTGAGCCAACACTGAAAAATAAATGTTATAATTATGTCTTATCTTTTAAAAATACAACTAATAAATCACAATTTGGCATTTAATATTTCAGTGTACTGTTGGTACAAAATATACATTTCACAAATATGCTTAAGTCACATGTGCTAGTGGGATATGACCAAATTATAAACTCTTCTTAAACATATGTGTGTGTGTATATATATATATATATGCTGAGTTTTCTAATTGTTTAATGCTCTAAGAGTTGACCATGATAGATTTATCTTTAGCCAATAAGTACAAACATTACAAGTAGTTGTTCTATTATTTGTTCTAATTCAAACAGATTTTATTCCTTCAAAAGATTTGTTGTGCCTTTGTTTGCTACACATTTTATTCAAGAAAACATGGATATTACAAATCAGGATAATAACCTTTAATCATAATTACAATTTCAGGACTATGTCAAAGCTGGTGGCATTCTTCAGGAGGATATTTCCGAAGCTTGTCTAATTTTGGGAGTTAAAAGACCTCCAGAGGAAAAATTAATGTCCAGGAAGACTTACGCATTTTTCTCCCACACAATAAAAGCTCAGGAGGCCAATATGGGCTTGTTGGATGAGATTCTAAAACAGGTAATTAGTGATTAATATTCTTGAATATACTGCCAAGAAGTATGGCATATAAGTTAGTTTTCCTTTCTTCTTTAGTTTAAGAGGAACATTGCATTCCTTTTATATTCTGAAATGGAAAGAATGTTAAAAGCTTTTTCCCTAAACAATTTAGCAGTTTATAAGGTCAATTGGCCAGATACTACCAAATAGAATTTTAGAGCTGAAAATAACCTCAGGGATCATATAATCTACTACCTTATTTTTCAGATGGGACCCAGAGAGGTAAAGTGACTTGACTGGATTGCACACTATGTATTATGCTGGAACTGAACTAGAGGCAATTTTTTTTTTTTTTTGAGATGGAGTCTTGCTCTGTCATCCAGGCTAGAGTGCAGTGGTGTGATCTCGGCTCACTGCAACCTCCGTCTCCCAGGTTCAGGCGATTCTCCTGCCTCAGTTTCCTGAGGAGCTGGGACTACAGGTGCCAGCCCACATGCCCAGCTAATTTTTTGTATTTTTAGGAGAGATCGGGTTTCACCGTGTTAGCCAGGATGGTCTCAATCTCCTGACCTCGTGATCCGCCCACCTCAGCCTCCCAAAGTGCTGGGATTACAGGTGTGAGCCACCGTGCCTGGCTGAGACAATTTTTACATTTATTCATATTCATAAGGGAAAATGTATTTTGAGATATAAATACTATGATAAAAACTAGCAGCTGTTTAAAACACAGGATATTCATTTAACAAATATTTACTCAGTGCTGATGCTATGTCTGACACTGTTCCAATGCAAGAGCAAAAGAGTAAAGTATCTTTATCTTCACAGAACTTACATTCTAGTGGGAGGAGACAGATAATCAATGACTAAGACATCTAATATGCCACTTGGGAATATGTGTGATGAAGATAAATATAATATTGAAGGAGAAAAGGAGTCCTGGGCACTGGGAGGTGATGATGCTATTTTAAGTAGGATCATCAGGGAGGATCCCACTGTGAAAGTGGCATTGAGCAACAATCTGAAGGAGGTGAAGGACCAAGCCATGTACATCTGAGATGAGTCTTTTAAGCAGACAGAATAGTAATGCAAAGGTCCGAAGGTCTGTTTGAATGTGGGGTTAGAGTAGACCATGTTCAAAAATGCTTATTCTGTCTCTTGTGTCAATAATGGTTGGAGGTGGGAGGAGGAGAGCAACATTACTAAGAAGGCTGCTAATCTAGGCTGGTCTAGACTGCAAGTCACAAGTGATGGTGGCCTGCACCTGGAAGAAATGGTGGAAGTGGAAGTTGTGAAATGTGGACAAATCTTGGATGTGTTTTACAGGTGGACCCTACAGGATTCACTGATGACATAAAGGTAGAATATGGAAAAAGGAGAGGAGTCAGGAACGACTCCAGGTTTTGGTCTGAGCTACTCGAAGCAATTGCCATGGAATGACGTGATGTTACTACAAGAGAAAAAGCCTTGGGTGGGCAAATCAAGAGTTGAGTTTAGGGTCTGCTGAGTTTAATATTCTATTAGACATTTAAAGGGATAATCTAAGAGGGCTGTTGGATATGAGTCTGAAGTTCAGGACGGCAGCTTCTTCTGACATACATTTTGTAGTTGTCAGAGACTAGGTGGTGTCTAGAGTCACGAGACTGGATGAGCCTAGGAAGGGAGTATAGAAAAAGAAGTCTAAGGTTCACATCTTCAAGATGTTACAGCTAGAATCTGAGATTAGGGCAGATGATTGGAGAGTTCATAAACAGTAAAAGCAATGGAAAATACCTATTATATAGAAGTATAAAATACTTTCCAATTAACTCCAAATACAGTAGACCAGGGTGACAGTTAATTTGTAGTGTTTCTAAAGAATAAGTTCAAAAGTAATTAATGGAAATAACACTATAGGAAGAATGTTCCACTTTAAGCAAATAAAGTCTTTATAAAGTACTTTAGGAACTTTTTTTGTTATTTTAACTTTTGTTCATTATAAGAAAATTAACAAAAACTGACCTAACAGGACTGCTTTTGGGCAGCATTTTGTAACCAATTACTTGGAGTTGGAAGAATGATAAACATTCTTAAATTCACGAACATGATAAAAATTATATGATCTTTGAGGAAATAAAATTACTGTTTAAAATAGTGTATAATTACAATAAACTAATATATTTTAAGCATGAATTACTAATACTTTCCTGAGAGAGGAAAGGTTTTCAAGGAAAGAGGAAGAATATGTTTTTAGTGAAGGCAAGGAAGAGAAATGGCATAAAGGTGAACTATGAGAAAAGGAGAGGACTCAGGAATGACTCCAGGTTTTGGCCTGAGTTACTCAGAGGAATCACGTACTACTTTTAAGAGGAAGGTCACCTGTAAAAGGAAGGAGAGGGAAAAAGAAAAAAAGAGGAGAAGGAGGAGGAGGAGAGAGAAAAATATCTGTGCTTGGACTTGAGAGAGAGTGTTATTATTTTCCAGGTAGAAGAGACCTAAGTGTACTTAGAATGGTTGAGGAACAATGTAAAGAGGGATGATGCAAGAAAGAGGTAATAGTTCAAGAAGAGTGGTCTTGGAGGACATGAGAGAAGCTGGGATCTAGGTTACAGAGATTTGTCTCAAAAGGGATCTGTTTTCTTCGACCAGAAGGAAGGATGTAAGGATGAGTGGGGCTATAGATATGTTTATAGATGGTGCTGGGTGGGTGGGGCCAAAATGGTAAAGGAAATTCTACCTTTATTATTTCATTGCCTACCATCAAGGGGGGTATAGCACCTGCTACGAACATTTTTTTCATTTCTAATTACAAGCCTACCATTGGTTTGCTACCTGGCATTTTCTAAATATTTCACGGTATACCTGATGGTAACTTCTGTTAGCAAGGTAAGATGTATTTCAGAGGAAAAAATGTGAAATATTTACTTGCTCATATATGTCTTTACTTGTTAAAATTAAGCCTAATGGGTCCAGTTGAAAAATTTTTAATCCCCCTTTCAGGAAATTCGCCTTATTGATTATGAGAAAATGGTGGATCATAGAGGAGTACGGGTAGTGGCATTTGGACAGTGGGCCGGTGTGGCAGGTAAGTATGCCAGGGCTTACATCACCCAGTTTCTAAATTGGCTTGGGGAATAACTGTGAGTTTTTTCTGTGGCAAGGGGATAGGAGTGTTTATTTCCATGGAAAAAATTAAAATGAGGGTATGCTGAAGGATGATGAATACAAGTGGAATAAAGTATAAAGATACATGGTTAAAAATATTTTACTGCAAAAATTCAAAAGAAAAAGAAGGGAGAAGGATAACAACTACAAATAGGCTCTGGTTTTTAGGCAGTTCCTTTCAAAATGCTAGAAGGAGATACCAGTTTGGTAATGAGACATAGGGAAGGAGAAGATAGGGAAAAACAGAAAGGGAAAAGAGGTCCAGGGACAGGAATTTTGTCAAGTTAATTCTTCGAACTTTGTTTGGTTAAGAAACACCACAATATGTTATAGCTCTGTTTCAGATCAGACTTCTTGCAGGTCTAATAAGGAAGATCATGACTTTGGCATTATTTGTTTGACCTTGTTATATAAAAGTAGAAGATTTCTTATTATGGCTTATGTCATTCTGCTTATTATTAATATTATACTCAAATCCACCTGCTTCTTAAATAATAAAGAAATCTAAGCCAAAATTTGAAATTCAAAAAATTTTTTCACTTAAACCCATTCAGGCAGGGGACAGTAGCTCATGCCTGTAATCCCAGCACTTTGGGTGGATGAGGCGGGCGGATCATTTGAGGTCAGGAGTTTGAGACCAGCCTGGCCAACATGGTGAAACCCCGTCTCTACTAAAAATACGAAAATTAGCCGTTGGTGGTGCATGTCTATAATCTCAGCTACTCGGGAGGTTGAGGCAAGAGAATTGCTTGAATCCAGGAGGCAGAGTTTGCAGTGAGCCAAGATCACGCCACTGCACTCCAGTTTGGACGACAGAGCAAAACTCTGTCTTTAAAAACAAACAAACAACAACAACAACAACAACAAACAATTCATTGCTTTGTTCTCTCACCTCATACCTTTCCTCACCCAACACACAAATCAACTCTATTAAACTAAAAGAAAATTAAATTTCTTAGTATAAAAGCAGTAGTAGAGAGACCTCTGATGACTATGATTCCTAGGGCCTTTCAGGACTCATCCAGGTGAGGGTTTTATTTACCTAGACAGAATTAATACATCAGAATTAGGTGATTTATTTAGAAGTCACCATATTCAGAAGTAGGACCACATCTGTGAACTGGATGTAGTTCATGTTGTTAAAGAAGCGTTCAGGCTAGTAAACACGAATACAATGCTAGTGTTAATTGCTATAAGAAAGATGTTTGAGGCTGGTTGCGGTGATTCACACCTGTAATCCCAGCACTTCAGGAGGCCGAGGAGGGTGGATCACCTGAGGTCCAGAGTTCAAGACCAGCCTGGCCAACAAGGTGAAACCCCGTCTCTACCAAAAATACAAAAATTAGCCAGGTGTGGTGGTGGGTGCCTGTAATCCCAGCTACTCAGGAGCCTGAGGCAGGAGAATCGCTTGAACCTGGAAGGCTGAGGTTGCAGTAAGCTGAGATCACACCATTGTACTCCAGCCTGGGAGACAGAGTAAGACTCCATCTCAAAAAAAAAAGAAAAAGAAAAAGAAAAGAAAGGTATTTGAACTTGGCTGTTGCAAAAACATTCTTTTAAAAAGTACCTTTGAAGATGAGATCTGAAGAATGATTAAAAACTATTCAAGGAAGTAAGGGAGGACAGTACAAGTGTGCAAAGCTTAAAGTGAAGAGGGGAAAAATAATAGTTTTGAGGAATAGAAATAAGTTCAGTATGATTATATGTATATGGAGAGAACTATATATGGTTCTTATAAGTATTTAGAAGGTGGAATTCACAGGATGTGGTGACTGATTGGATGTAGGTGTGAGGGCAGTGAGGGAGACACTTTAATGATGACATACAGGTCACCAACTTGGACAGTGATTCAGTTCTTTCAGTACCCACAGGAATGGAGGAAGAATTTGGGGGAAGACAGTAAATGAGTTCTGTATAGGACAATATATTAGTAGATTACAAACTAAATTGCTATAATGGAGACTCCACAAAACAGAGCTTACATAAGCTGGAAGTCCAGGAGTGAGAAATCAAGAGATGGTGGAATGAGAAGAAAGTGTTGCTATTGTCAACACTTGACTTTCATTTCTAAGGTGACCCTTCAGGTTGCTATTTTTCATTCAGTAGAAAGGGGAGAAAGGAAGTAGAGGCAATTAGCTTCCTTTCTAAGGATGCGACCCAGAATCTGAACATATTATTTCTGCTTATACCCATTGGTCAAAATTGACTGAGAAATGTAATCTATAGCTGGGCAACTATGTCTGCTGTGAAAACCATGTGCTCTCCATCTATGAAGGATTAACTGAGTTCAGACTTACTATCCTGTCACTAACCAACTAGAAAAATTGGATGAGATATAGAAAACAATGTTATTAGACATTGGACAACAGGCAGTACAGACTTGTGATCCTTGATAGATGGAAAATAGATGAGGTGAGTTCTGTGTTTACCCTGGCTTTCTGTCTGGAGAAATTTTCAGATGGTATGAATATAAAAAAGTGACACAAAGCCTGGTGAACTCACTGAACTGAGGAGATAGGAGTTGTAGAGCCTGAGTTGGCTGGAATTGACAACACATGGTACCAAAGAGTAGGGAGAAATAGGGAATGCAGAAATAGTATTCCAGAAATATGCTTAGGGGTCTTGCTGAGTGGAGGATGAAAATTCGTGAGACTAGCTTAGGAACAATTTGTGGAAAAGAACAATTGCCAGGGAACTGTATGGAAAACTGTTCTCAGAGTTTGTCCCATCAGCCAGAGTGGAGAGACTTCACTGAATATATAAGGCTTTCAGGGAAGCCCTGAAGTGTGTAGCTAAACCAGCTCTTAATAAAGCCTACTCTAAATTCATTCCTATAAAAGCTTAAAAATGAGACTAATGTCTATTTTGAGAGAGATGCAATTAGCAGACAAGTAGATTAAAACAGCTATAATAAATATTCAGTATATTCACATTTTAAATGAAAACATAAACAAAATGAGGAGAGAAATAGAGGAAATCAGTCCATCTATCTATCAATCAATAGTCACCACAAAGGAAAATCTATACATAAGCAGAGGATTCAAGAGCATATATAGATTTTCTTCTGTAGTGTCTATTGATTGATAGATACATGGTAGATAGATTGATTTCCTCTACTCCTCATTTTGTTTGTGTGTTCATTTAATCCTTGAGCACATTGACCAGCATCTCTGTCATTTCTTGTTTCTGAGTTTGTTTCTATTGTTGGTTATCTCCAGGTTAATGTTCCATTGCAAAATTCATAATTTTTTACTGAATGCCAGACATTGTTCATTTTACATTGTTGATTGTCAGATTTTGTTGTTTTCCTTTCAGGAGCATTGGGCTTTGTTCTAATAGGCAAATGTTTGTGGATTACATTGATTCTCTTAAGGCTTGTTTTCCTTTCACCTTCCTCTCTTCCTTCTGGGACTCCAAATACACACATATTAGACCATTTGATCACCACCTGTCACTTAAATTCTGCTTTTTCCCTCAGTCTTTTTCTCTTTTTATGCTTCATTTTATTTAATTTCTACTGCAATGAGGAAGGAAGAAAGGAAAGAAATAATGACTAGAACATTCCCATATCTTGATAAAAATTATAAATACACAGATAAGTGAAGTTCAATAAACCCCAAGTCAAAAACAGAAATAAAAAATTACAAAGAAAATGACAGTAGAACCATCATAATTGTCTTGCTAAAAAACAATGATAAAAACATTAAAAATAATGGGAAAAAGGAACCATATACATAGAAAAACTAAGATAAACATCAAACTTCTAATCAGTAACAGTTTAAGCTAGCAGAAAATGGAGCAACATCTTTAAAGTGCTAAAAGAAAAGAAACCAAATTATAATTTTATGCATAGTACAATATCTTTCCAAAGACAAGATCTTTTCAATATCTTTCTGGACATCTTTCTAGAAAATGAAGATTAAACACAGATTTTCTGATCAAATGAAAGCTGATAAAATTCACTGGCATAGAAGTATTTAAAAAATTTCTCAAGCAGAAGGAAAATGAAGTCAGTTGAAAACATGGATTGAATTAAAGGAATAAAGAACGCTACAAATGATAGAATATAAACAAACATAAAAAACATCATATCTTATTTAAAAACTTTTCTTTAGGTATGGACACAGTTGCTCATGCCTGTAATCTCAGCACTTTGGGAGTCCAGGGCAGGCTGATTGCTTGAACTCAGGAGTTTGAGACCAGCCTGGGCAACATGGTGAAGTCCCATCTCTACAAAAAAATGCAAGAGTAGCTGGGCTTGGTGGTGCGTGCCTGTCGTCCCAGCTGCTTGGAGGCTGAGGTGGGAGGATTGCTTAAGTCTGGGAGGTTGAGGCTGCGGTGAACTGTGTTCATGCTATTTAGGTCAATAAATAGATGATGGGAGCCTTAGGGTTAACGGTGACTGTTTTTGTTTGTTCATTTGCTTTTGGTATGGGAGGCATAGATGCATACCTAGAAAAATCACTAAAAATAAAACAAGGCTCTAAAGCTAATAAGCCAATAATGGAAGTAAAATTTCATACTCAGAAATCACAGTTCAAGCAAAAATACAAGAAAAATGGCATTAAAAAAAGGACAAATGAAACAAGAACACAAACAGCAACGTGGTAGCTTTAAATTTAGCTATATCAATAGTTACATTAATGACCTAAAAACTCCTAGATAGCCTATACAATGAGTCACAAAATAATTTTTGATACATTTAAAAGTTTGAAATCATACAGTATATATTCTGACTGTAATAGAATTGACCTAGAAGTTTTTATAGAAAGATATTTGGAAAATTTCCAAATATTCGGGAGATATTCAATGTAATTTTGAATACCTGATTGATTAAGAAGAAATCACAGGAAAATTAGAAGACATTTTTAATAGAATAAAAATTTAAAGTATAGCTTATCAAAATGTGTGGGGTATAAAGTAGTAATTAGAAAGAAATTTACAGCATTTAATTCTTTTATTACAGAAGACAGTTTTTAAATTAATAATTTGTGCTTCCACTCTAAGAAGCTAGAAAATCAGAGAAATTAAATCAAAAGCAAGTAGAAAAAAAAATAATAAACATACAGGGAAAATAAATGAAACTAAAATAGGAAAAGAATAGAGAAAATCAATGAAACCAAAACCTTGTTCTCTGAAAAATATCAATAAAATTGATTAACATTTAGGTAGACTGATAGGAAAACAGAGAAGACTATTTACTAAGAAGGAATACAAGGGGGTCATCACTATATCTTACAAATATTAAAATGATAAAGGAATATTATGAATAGGTCAATGAATTTGGCAACCCTGATGAACTAGATAAATTTTCAAAAAGTACAAATTACCAAAATCAGCTCAAGAAGAAATTGAAAACTTAAATATCAAGGTACAAAATAAATTCCACTAATAGGCATTTATTAAAAGAAATATAATATTTTATACAAAGAATTTTTTTATAGCAACTCCATTTATAATAGCCTGGAAACAACCCAAATGATGAGCAGAGAAATCAGCTGAAATGGAAATGGGCAATTCTTCAGCAATAAGAAACTATACTGATACACACAAAATATGTATGAATCTCAAAAACATGGTGCTGAGTGAAAGCCGACACATTGTAAAAGAGTACAATTGACCCTTGAACAACATGAGTTTGAACTTCATGAGTCCGCTTATATTTACTGGATGCAAAATCCACCTTTACGGGGGGCCACCTTTTCATACAGGCAGGTGTCACAAGACTGACTGTGGGACTTGATTATGCCCAGATTTTGACATGTACAGGGATCTTAGAACCAACCGCCTGCGTACACTGAGAGGCTACTGCTTAAAATTTCATTTATATGTAAGTTTAGAAGTACCTAATCTATACAGAGAGAAAGATCAGTAGTTGTGGAGACCAGGAGTTGGTGAAATACTCAGTATCTTGATCATGGTGGTAATAACACGGATGTGTATATTTGTTAATAGTTACCAAACTATACCTTTTAAATGGGTGCATTATGTTGTATATAAACTATTTCTTTATATGTTGACTTTTGAAAAATGATAAAAGAAAATTTGGTAGGGATGTGTGTCCGGGGTGAGGATGGGGAATGGAGGAGCATGGAAAGTTCTTTCCTAAAAAGAATAAGGAAAGAATCGATGCTGAGGTCTTTGCTACAGGCATGCTGAATTTTAGCTTTCTGAAGAACATCTAAATTGAGGCAGACTTAAGAAGGTGGCTGGCTAAGTTTTGAAATCAAAAGAAAGATCTGTTTTGGAGAGACAGACTTGAAGTCATCTGTATATAGACAGTACTTGAAATTTAGGACTGGATGAGATTCCCTAAGGGACAAATGTAGATGTGGAAGAGAATAGAGCCCAGGACATAATCCTGAGGGTGAATAACATAAAAGGAGTTGCCACAGGAAGAGGATCCTACAGAAAGGTAGGATTAAAAATTTCAAGTTGGGATGCTGAGGGGCACTCTTTGTTTCAACAAAGAAGAGGTCTGCATTGCCAAGTACTTCTGACCTGATCTACAATGTGTCCACTGCATTTAGCTATTTAGGTCAATAAATAGATGATAGGAGCCTTAGGGTTAACGGTGACTGTTTTTGTTTGTTCATTTGCTTTTGGTATGGGAGGCATAGGAGCATGTTTAAATGCTGATAAGAATGAAGCAATAGGGAAGCATAGTGAAGAGAGTAACTCAGTAATAAATTCTTTGGGAGGCAGGAAGGGGTGGGATCTGGAGCCAATGTGGAGAGATTAGCCTTAGATAAGAAGAGGAACATTCATCCTATTTTATCAGGATTGAAGGTGGAAGGAATAGGTGGGGATGCATTTGGGTTAGTGCATTTGATGGCAGAAAGTTGAGAGGATGGATAAGATCTACTGAGGCCTCTTCTAAATCTGAGATGCTGTGATCTGTGCTTCTGCAGGGCACCATACAGGTTGGAGAATGGGCAGGGAGAACAGCTTAAATTCTTCCCAACTAATAGTCTTTCTATTGGTCTGATTCTGTAACAGGGATGATCAACATTTTACATGGAATGGGTTTAAGGCTCCTTGCTTTGGGACATCACACACCTTTTATGGTGAGAGATGTTTATTTTGCTTATTTTTTTGAAAACACATCTCACACCTTAAGAATAAAAAAATGCTGAGCTGGTGGACTAACTTGAGTTGTGTATGTTTGTTTTCAGCACATTGGCATGGCTCATAACTACAGGAATAGCAGTCAGGCTGTGCAAGCTGTTCGTGATGCTGGCTATGAAATATCTTTGGGTTTGATGCCTAAGTCAATAGGGCCCTTAACATTTGTGTTCACAGGAACTGGTAATGTTTCTAAGGTAAGTTTTACCTGACTTCCTTTTGTAAAACAATCCAAAACTGTGAAACTAACCCAAATGATGTGAGCAGGCATTTTGTGGGTATTTCAAATGGACTGAATGAAGATTCTTTTTTTGGCACTTTTCTTACCAACGTATTTTTCTCATAGTGAAAAGTAGTAATGATCCAAATGTATGTGTGTGTGTGTGTATGTATGTGTGTGCGTGTGTGTGTGTATGTGTAAGTGTATATGTGCGTATATCTATACACACATACATGCACACATACAGTTTTTAGTTTATTGCTAGCTACCTGAGTCTTGGAATACTTTTTCTTCCTTTCTTTTTCCTTTTTTAAAAGAGATAATTTGGCCAGGCACGGTGGCTCACGCCTATAATCCCCGTACTTTGGGAGGCTGAGGCAGGCGGATCACCTGAGGTCAGGAGTTTGAGGCCAACCTGGCCAATATGGTAAAACACCATCTACACCAAAAATACAAAAATTAGCCAGGCCTGGTGGTGCACACCCATAATCCCAGCTACTAAAGAGGCTGAGGCAGGAGAATCGCTTGAACCCGGGAGGCAAAGGTTGCAGTGAGCCGAGATCGCACCACTGCACTCCAGCCTGGGTGACAGAGCGAGACTCCATCTCAAAATAAAATAAAATAAATAAGATAATTCATTGTTAATAGTGTAAAGGTCTGTTCTGAGGGTGATCTATTTTACCTCTATCACCAAAACGTCCATGAGTTTGAAAGTGACCTCACGATGTCCATTTTTTAAGACTACTTGGAGTTTTGCAAAAAAGATGTTAGGAAAATTCATTTAAGACTGGAATTCATAATTTCTTCCTTCTCTGGTGGTTTTAAGAATGTGTTTGTAATCTCCTATAGAAACTTGTAATTGTAAAATAATTCCTTCTTCAAAGAAAATATTTTACAAATAGGATATCATTCATATTATATTGTGAGGTAAGCATCCGATTATTTCTTTTGTAGGGAATATAGTTTCCCCATTTGGAATAATTTCTGCAATGGATCTAAAATAAATGGAAATATTTTTGCCCTCATTTCTAAACACTCTTATTGATACTGAGTAGCTTAATAAAAAAGAAAAAAATTAAAGCCCCTTCTAAGTGTGCTGTTCAAACAGGAATAAAAACTAGCTAGCAGACTTGTTGTAAGCAGCTCATCTATATTTCTGTGTTGCATTCCTGGTTGTAGGGAAGGCAAGTGGAGCTGTATAATTGTTGGGAAAATGATCAGATCTTTGAAGAAAACCATGTTGGTTCTTTTTCTATTGATGTTTGGATTTTTACTCGTGTGTTATTTGTAGGGAGCCCAAGCAATCTTTAATGAGCTACCTTGTGAATATGTGGAGCCCCATGAATTAAAAGAAGTTTCCCAAACTGGAGGTAAGGGACGGGGGATGACTAACTTTTAATGTTTTTAATAGTCTGTGTTATATTTTATCACCATAAATTTTCATTATTTGTCACCCACTTTACTAATTTCTTTCTCCTTTGCAAGACCTCAGAAAAGTGTATGGGACGGTGTTAAGTCGTCATCATCATCTTGTCAGGAAAACAGATGGTGTGTATGATCCTGCAGAGTATGACAAACATCCTGAGCACTACATAAGTCGTTTTAATACTGATGTGAGTATCATGTTCAGCTTTTAAGTTGGTTGCTTATGATACAGTGTAGGTAGGCAATTTTCAAGGAGAGAAATTATAAATTATACATTGGCTTTCGGTTTTCCTGTTGTGAGTCCTTTGGGTACCATGAGTTGGCCTTTGGAGCTATCATCTTTTAGGGGAATTTGGAGTAGTCTTGCTTTGTGCTTTTGGTGGTTTCTGTGGATATACTCTTTGTTTCACTGTCTCCATTTCTGCTTCAGGTCTGCATGTGACCAATAGCTCTAAGCCATTTCCTGTGGGTTACTGTTTTCTATGTTTATCCTGGACTAGTTAGCACTGTGGGCAGAGCACAATGCCTATGACGTTTGGTCTCAACATGGCCACAAATTACAACCATAATCTCAACCAGCAATCCTGAAATGCATGCCATTGTTTACGGGGAGTGAGGGTGAAATAGTGTGCCTACATAAGTGCAGACCACCCCTACTGTATGAAAAAGCTATTATACTTACAAATCAAATCCTTCAATGGGACACACTGGCTTTATCTTTTAAGAAATAAAATATATTTGTGTGTTCTATAGTCATTGGCCATGCGACAATCTTCCCCCAGATAAACTAACAAACCAAAAAATAGATAAAACAAAAAAGGCATGCATTTATTGTGAAAAAGAATGCTTTAAATAATTTTAAATATGTTTGACCAACATAGCATTTTCAGATTCTGGTATGAAGTTTAGTCCTTATATCATGCAGGGCATGTTAGAGAGAACTCTTACCTTCTGCTTGAGATGTTTGAAGAAGAAAAATTATGAACGTAGTTTCAAACTGAAAAATTTTGAATCTAAGAAATCTTTATTCCTTTTCATTTCCCCAATCACCGAAGTATTGGTGATTGGACACATCCTAAAACTGATACTGACCTAGTTGCCATGTATGCATGTATGTAGCATATTGCTCCATAGAGCTTACAGATGTTATCCGATTTAATCTTCACAGCATTCCTTTGAGGAATGGGGTGTGTATTATCCCCATCTGGCAGGTAAGAAAAATAGAGCGCAGGGAAGTTGAGGTAGCATGATTTAGGTCATACCCTACTGCTAGTAGAGCTGGAAATATAATTTTAGGTCCACTGTTTTTTGTTTGTTTTGTTTTGTTTTGTTTTTGTCCTTTCATTTTTCTTTGGCATGCGATACATTACAGAATGAACATAATAATGACTTTTTTTTTTTTGAGACGAAGTCTCTCTGTCACCCAGGCTGGAGTGCAGTGGCGCGATCTCAGCTCACTGCAAGCTCCGCCTCCTGGGTTCACGCCATTCTCCTGCCTCAGCCTCCTGAGTAACTAGGACTACAGGTGCCTCCACCACACCTGGCTAATTTTTTGTATTTTTAGTAGAGACGGGATTTCACCATGTTAACCAGGATGGTCTCGATCTCCTGACCTCATGATCCACCCGCCTCGGCCTCCCAAAGTGCTGGGATTATAGGCGTGAGTCACTGGGCTCAGCCAATAATGTATTTATAGTCATATATTGCTCTGTCATGGGGTAATTCTACACTGAAATCTGGGTGGCTATTTATTGTCTTTGCCTCAAAAGATGGACACTGACATGGACAATAAGAAAATCAATTAGAAGTTACATTTAATTATTTCTCATAGACTTTCCTGATAGCTCTCTTTCACTATACTATATTAAAATAGGTTATTTTTCTATTTTCTTGAACCTGGAACTTGCATTACAGATTGCACCCTATACAACTTGCTTAATTAATGGAATCTACTGGGAACAAAACACTCCTCGCCTCCTAACCCGCCAAGATGCTCAGAGTCTCCTGGCTCCAGGCAAGTTCTCAGCTGCTGGTGTGGAAGGCTGCCCTTCATTACCACACAAGTAAGGACTCTACTTCAGCAACGATGGTAGTTTTGACCAGCTGCTTCCATTATTAGAGGATCAAAGAACGTAATGTCCCCACCTATCACAGGACTTGATTTCTAATGACTACTTCTCTGCCTTATCTTTCTTGACCTCTTGGCAGTAGTCGACACTGTTAACCATCCTTCCTTCTTTTTAAAAAAATTGTATATATTTATTTTCAGAGATGGGGTCTTGTTATATTTCCCAGGCTGGTCTAAATCTCTGGGTCCCAAGCAGACCTCCTGCCTTGGCCTCCCAAGGTGCTGGGATTATAGGCATGAGCCACCATGCTCAGCCCATCCCCAGTTGTTGAAACACTCTTCTTTTGCCTTCTGTGATGCCCCGTGCCGCTCTGAAACTATTTCCTCAGAGAAGTCTTCTCTTACTCCTCCATTTTCATCTCTATCTCTAGTCTGGTACTCTGTTTTTTGTTTTGAAATTCCTCATTTATTTTCTCGTGTTTATGATTTTTCTCCCTCTTCCTAGAACTTAATCTCCTTAAGGATAGGGGGTCTGTTTCTCTTGGCCATAAGCACCTAGTATGTTGCCTGATATATAATAGACATTGAAATAATTATTAAATATTGAATGAATTAATGACTAAATATTTGTGGAAGAGTAAAAGATATGTTTGCTTTTCTAGGCATGTAACTGGCATCAAGTAAATGCCAAGGGAATGCTAGGAGCAACAACATCACTGGGGTTTAGAAGAAAGCAGAAGCATTGAGCTCAGCAAACCTTAAAGGGAGGAATGAGGAGAACAAGAATTCCAAGTGAAAGGATTGGTGCTTAATAAATATGGAGCTACCAAAGCATATTTAGGGTGCTGAATGTGTCAGTCTAGCTCTGCATTGGTTCATGTATGCAAGTGGTAATTGGAGATTGGGCAGAAAAATTAGAGTCAACCTTTTGAATACTGGACTGAGACTTTTGTTCATAATTCTAGAGATTTCTGTGTAACCACATGTAAAACTATACAGTACTAAGCAGGGTGGAGGTAGCATAATTGAACCTTTCTGAGTTATTTAGGGATAGCTAACTATGTTAACTTTAGTCTCTTAATGATTTTTCTAGGAAAGCAATGTTCTGCTTTTATTTCCTTTTTTCCTTTTCTTTTCTTTCTTTTTTTTTTTTTTTGTGCAGACTAAAACTCATACTGGGAAGATTCTCTGTATCACAGAACAGTGCAGAATCCTGAAGAATGAGCTATAGGAAAAAGACCCCAAAAGCCTGGGAAATATTTAGGATCCGTGTTGAAAATTGTTCTGAACTCCTTTTTTTTAGTCTTGTTGGAGACTTCAGAATTTCATCCTCTCATCTAAGTATTGATGTTGTTTTCAGACTTGTGGCAATATGTGACATTTCAGCTGACACAGGAGGGTCTATAGAGTTTATGACTGAGTGTACAACAATAGAGCGTCCCTTTTGCATGTATGATGCAGACCAGCATATTATTCATGACAGGTGAGTTTGCTAAAGTTGTTAGATGATATTTATCACTTAGTTACATAGATATACTACTCTAAAATGCTTAATATTTTACATCTTTCTGAAGCTATGAAAATTTGCAGAGATATACTCAAATATACTAAAATTAGGTTAAAAAAACATGCAAATTTGAACACACACACACACAAAGACACACACACACATATATTTAAATGGGAGACGGGTTGCTGAAGAAGGAAAATGTTTGGTTTGAAAAGTTTTGTTTATTTTTGCATGTACTTTTATACAAAATTACAAATGATAATGAAGCAAATATAAAGTAGACATCTGGAAAAGTCAGAACTTACAAATAATGTTTTGTGCTTCTGAATAAACCACATTGCTTCTCTTAGTGTTGAAGGCTCAGGGATCCTGATGTGTTCCATTGACAATTTGCCAGCACAGCTCCCGATTGAAGCTACAGAATGCTTTGGAGACATGCTTTACCCTTATGTTGAAGAAATGGTAAGCAGACTGGTAATATCAGTAACAACTCTGTGGCTTTAAATAGAATAATGGGGTAATTCTGTGAATGTTCTGGTCTTCTGTATCTAAGAAATCTGTTGTAAAATGAAATGCCAGCCCTTCCCTGAAATACTTACTGATACTATTTTATTTGACATGTTCTGCTTACTTGTCTCTTGGGGCATATGATGATATCACTGCCTTCATGCTTAATTACAATTACATCTCTTTCCCATTATAGGTATTTTATTAAGAATGTTAACCATGTGTGAGATAAAACATGCTTTATTTTTAATTATTTGCCATCTATGTCAGTTCATATTGGGGCACTCTTATTGTGCCATAATAACTAGATCGGAAAAATTAGAAATATAGAATGTTTTATTGGGTTCTGGTCACTAATGGTTAAGTGACAGCTTATGTTGAGGTCATGTATTTTTCTTCTGTGATCAGTGAATAGCTAATGAAATACCATGTTATCTAAATTCCATTTTGTTTATCAAAGAAAATTTTTCTTATTTCAGTTTTTATCCTAAGCATTCATAGCCTTCCTGCTTTATTTTTATTTCAGAATGTCTGCCTCTGCCAATGATTTCAATATAAAGAATGGCTCTTGCTCTTTTCATCTATATCTTCCCTCATAAGCTCTCACATTAAAATAGAACAATAGTTAGTGGGGCAAGAGTAAATGAAATTTCCAGTCTGTGATCTTCTTTTCTTTCAAACGGTATTCCATTTTGACCCTTTCTTTTTCCTATTGGAATATGTCAACAGGGAGATGTAGCAGGCCTGACAAAATGCAGGCAGCAGACACTGTCATGGTTAGACATATTGCACCTACTATGTGCAGGAAGTGTTCAAAGTACTAAATATATTTTAATTTTAAGTACTCATGAGAACCATATTAGGTAAGTACCATCATTATATCCGTTTTACACATTATAAAACAAATACAGAGAAGTTAAGGACGTGTTGCTGATGCAGTCAGTACCGGATCTGCAATGTGTCTGGAGTTGATGCTGAGGGATTAAAGAAGCAGAAGGAGAGTACAAATGCCAGGCTTTGCTGGAGACATCAACTTGCTTTATGGCCTTGAGCAGGGCACTCACTTCCTTTCTGAGCCTCAGATATTTCATCTGTAACATGAGGTGGTTGTAATGAATATATAATCTTATTTTATTTTATTTTATTTATTTATTTTTTGAGACAGAGTCTCACCCTGTTGCCCAGGCTGGAGTGCAGTGACGCAATCGTGGCTCACTGCAACCTCCACCTCCCAGGTTCAAGCGATTCTTCCTGCCCTCAGCCTCCCGAGTAGCCAGGACCACAGGTGCGTGTCACCACGCCTGGCTAATTTTTGTAGTTTTTAGTAGAGACGGGGTTTCACCATGTTGACCAGGCTAGTCTTGAACTCCTGACCTCGTGATCCACCTGCCTCAGCCTCCCAAATGCTGGGATTACAGGCGTGAGCCACCATGCCCAGCCATGAATACATAATCTTAACAGTTTCTCCACTTCTAAAATTTTATAATGGTAAATGTTTAAGTGGCCAAACTGTATGTGTATAAAAAATGCAATAATATATTTACCAAGATGTTTACCATTTTTGATGTTCTTCATTCATTTCCCTTTGGCATCATTTCCCTGCCAACTGAATAACTTAATTTATCACTTCTTATAGTACAGGTTTGCTGGTGACAGATTCTCTGAGTTGTCCTTTATCCGAAAATGTCTTCATATTCTCTATTCTGCTAATCAGACTTTTCTGTGCATTTTTAATTTCCAATGTTCTATTTTCAGTTCTAGAATTTCCGTTGGGTTCCTTTTTAAAAATTTCATTTTGGTATTTTGTCTTTCTCTGCAGAGAGTTTCTATCTTTTCATTAATTATGAGTGTATTTTTCGTTATTGCATGGAACATAGTTATAAAAACCACTTTACAATCTTTATCTCATACTTCCAACTTTCTGGGTCAATTTGCGGTTGGACTTTATTGTCTTTTCCCTTGAGAATTGATCATAGTCTTCTGGTTTTCATAGATTGAATAATTCTGGATTATGGCCTGGATGATGTGGATATTATGTACGTTTATCAAATGCATTTTCTGTATTCATTGAGAAGATCATTTTTTCCTTTTCTCTGTTAATATGTGAATTTTGTCAGTTGGTTTTCCAATATCAAACTAACTTCACATTCTTAGGATAAATCCAACTTGGTTGTATGTTAGCCGTTTATTTATGACTAAGCTCAGGTTGCTAAGGAATATACCAAAATTTCTTAATCTATTTTACCATTGATAGACATTTGGGGTTGTTTTCTTTTTGGGACTTTTACTAATAATTCTACTATAAAGATTTTTGACATGTGTTTTGAGATATATATATATATGTATCTCCCCATTATTTTGTTGAGTTTGTACATAAATTTATCTTGTTTAGGATTATTAACATCTATGTTCATTAGAGAGTTTTATCTATAACTTTATTTTATTATCAGGTCTTTGTCAGGTTTGGATATTAAGGTTATATTGGCCTTAAAACAAGTTAGAGAGTATTTCCTTATTTTTGGTCTCAGGAACATTTTACATGAGATTACTGTTAGTTCTACTTGATACAATTCATTAGCAAAACGATTTGGGTTGGTAGCATTTTTGTTTGTTTCTTTTTTGTTTGGTTTTAAGGGTGAGTTTTAAAATTATAGGTTACATTTTATTTAAAAACTTAAGAATGTTCAGACTTTTATTTTTCTTCTGTCAATTTTGGTATGCTTATTTTCTAGGAATTTATATTTCATCTAAGTTGTAAACTTTATTGTCACAATATTTTTTTAGTAATAATCTTATTAACTCTTTAACAGATTCTGTAGGGATTTCTCTTTTTCCTGATGTTGTTCGGGTATGCCTTCTGTTTTTTCTTAATCTATTTTACCTGGAACTGATGAATTTTATTAGTCATCTCAAAAAATCAGTTCAACTTTGGTGATCATCTCTATTTTATATCATTTTCTATTTTCTTAATTTATAATCTTACCTTTACTATATTCTTTATTTTACTTTATTGAGAGCTTAGTTAACCTTTCTTTTCATAACTTCTTACAATAGTGCTTAGGTAATTATTTTTCTGTGTTTCTCTTTAGCAATGTATGCATTTTAAAGCTATTAGATTTGATTTGAGTATGGCCCATTTTTGATTGTATTATTTGTTGTTTTGTTATTGAGTTCTTTGACTTTCTTGTATATTCTGGGTATTACTTCCTTGTGAGATGTATGGTTTGCAAATACTTTCTCCCATTATGTTGTTTCTTTACTCAATTGATTTTTTGTTTGCTTGTTTCTTTTGCTGTGCAGAAGCTTTTTAGTTTGATGTAATTCCATTTGTCTATTTTTGGGTTTTGTGCTTGTGCTTTTGAGTTCTTATCCAAAAAATTCTTAACCAGGTCAATGTCATGAAGCATTTCCCCTATGTTCTGTTTTTTTTTTTTTTTTTCTAGGAGTTTCATAGTTTTAGGTCTTCCATTAAAGTGTTTAATCCATTTTGAGTTTTTTCAATATGATGAGAAATAGGGCGTCTAGTTTTATTCTTCTGAATGTAGATATCCAATTTTCCCAGCACCATTTATTGAAGAGACTCTTCTTCCCAAAGTGTTTGTTCTTGACACTTTTCTCCAAAACTGGTTGGATATAGATGTATGGATTTCTTTCTGGGCTTGCTTTTCTGTTCAATTGGTTTATATGTCTGCTGTTATGCCAGTACCATGCTGTTTTAGTTACTATAGCTTTGTGGTATATTTTGAAGTCAGGTAGTGTGATGCCTCCAGTTTCGTTGTTTTTGCTAAAGATTGTGTGATGATTTGAGGTCTTTTGTGATTTCATAGTAGTTTTAGGATTTTCTTTTCTATTTCTGTGAAGATTGTCTTTTTTTTTTTTTTTTGATAAGGATTGCCCTGAATTCGTAGATTGCTTTGGGTAGTATGGGCATTTTAAAATATAAATTCTTCCAATCCATGAACATGGGAATATCTTTACATTTGTTTTTGTTTTCTTCAATGTCTTTCATCAATGTTTTACAGTTTTTAGTGTAGAGATCTTTCGTTTCCTTGGTTAAATTTATTCTTACGCATCTTATTTTTATTGTGGCTATTGGAAATGGGATTTTTTTTTCAGATTGTTTACTGTTGGCATATATAAATGCTACTAATTTTTGTATGTTGGTTTTGTATTCTGCAACTTTACTAAATTTGTTTATCAGTTCTAACAGTGTTTTGATGGAGCCTTTAGGGTTTTCTATATATAAGATTTTGTCATCTGCAAACAAGGACAATTTGACTTCCTGCTTTCCAATTTGGATGCCTTTGTTTTCTTTTTTTTTTTTTGCCTAGTTACACTGACTAGAACATCCAGTACTATGTTGAATAGTAGCATCCTTTTCTTGTTCTACATCTTAGAGAAAAAGCTTTCAATTTTCCGTGATTAGTATGATGTTAGCTGTGGGTTTGTCATGTATCTTTTATTATGTTGACATATGTACCCTCTATGCCTAATTTGATGAAAGTTTTTATCATAAAGTGATGTTGAATTTGTCAAATACTTTTTTTCAGTTTCCGTTGGAATAATCACATGGTTTTTGACCCTCATTCTGTTAATATGATAAATTATGTTTATTAATTTGCATATGTTGAACCATCCTTGCACCCCTGGAATGAATCCCATTTATTATGGTGAATGCTCTTTTAAATATGCTGTTAAATTTGATTTTCTAGTATTTTGCTGAAAATTTTTGCATCTATATTCTTTAGGGATATTGGCCTGAAGCTTACATTTTTTGTTATGTCCTTGTCTGATTTTGGTATCACATTAACACTGGCCTCATATAATTAGTTTGGAAGAATTTCCTCCTCCTTGATATTCTGGAATAGTTTGAGAAGAATTGGTGTTAATTCTTCTTTAAATATTTGGTAGAGTTCAGTAGTGAAACCATCAGGTCCTGGGATTTTCTTTGATGA